ACACAAACTCTTCAAAATGAAGATTTTAGAAAACAACATCTCCAAATTGATGAAGACCTTAAGCAGATGAGCATTATAGTCGATTCCCTCGCGACCCACAGCAAGGCTTTGGAGACTCAAACCTCTTTGCTTACACGAACATCTCTAGGACCCTTCCTTGAGAGCCATGTGAATATTGTAACCACTAGTAATGAAGAACAAATAGAAGATCCTAGGGAGAGTGATGATGAATCTGAAGAGAGTTTTGGTGAGACAAGCATAATTATTGAGAAAAATCCACCGACACCACCCGAAAGGGAGGTTGTCGAAGAGATAGAGAAAGAAGCACCCATTGTTGCTCCTCCTCCCTATACCCCACCTAATTCTTTCTCACAATTGGTTGTGGAAGCTAAGGTAAACTCCCAATCCAAAACATATGTAGAGGTATTGGAAAATATCCACACTAATGCACCTTTGTCTAAGGTCTTTCATAACAAAAGAAAATTCAAGGACCATGAAACTAGGGTCATCATTACTGTTAAAAGGGTAAGATTAAATTTTGAGGTGGTGGATGAAATAACTAAGCCCAAATTTGAAAAACTGATACTTAGGATAGATCCAGAACCACCGCCACAAGTTCAAAACAATGAACCACCCTATAGAAGAAAGAAAAGAAAAGGTGAGGGATATGAGAGATGGCTTGATAAGTGGCCATGGAAACCGAAGACCATTCAAAGTTTGATCAAGGAACCATTCTCGAAAGAACCACCATGAGTACTTGCACTCCTTGGTCGTCGAGCTATCGACGTTAAATAAAGCGTTGTGTGAGAGGCAACCCACAAAGTCTTTATTTTAATTTGTTTGTTTAAATTTGCAGAAAATAAAGAAATGTATCGCTTGTTACTCTTTAGCTATATCTAAGCGAAAACTCTCTAGATGACGATCTGAGAAGATGAGCTATGCCCACGGACATTCCTACGAGTGTCGCTGCTGGTGGGAACACTGATGATGAGTACTTCCTCTTGACGCGAGCAACATGATGAGATGGTTCGAGAATTACACAAACAAAGGTATCTCAAAATGCCCGCCGCGGAAGTAGAAGTGATCAATAAAGACAAGGATAGCAAGAGCAGTAGCATTCATACAGGTTCTATCTTTCCTTTTCCACCTTTTACTAAAACATTGAGGACAATGTTTGGTTTAAGTGTGAGGGAGGAACTCTATTGTTTTACATTTTATTTCATGCTTCTAGGAATTTTTATCTATTGTTTCACATTTTATTTCATGCTTCTAGGAATTTTTATCTATTTTTAACATTATGTCAAAGTCTTTGCATGTGCTGTCGAGTCTTCATGCGTGGTTTTCGCTTGTTATTCAATTTCCCCAAAAATTTCAAAATTTCAAAATTCTAACCTCCAACAAATTTTTGCTTCGATTCATGACATGGTTCTCTGAAAGTATATAGGCTGTCCAGGCTATGTTAGAAAAATGTGGGAAAGTTTTGATAAAATTGATACCGCCCTGACACCCTTAACCCCCTAAATATGCAAAATCAATTTGAGTACCCATTATGCCGAAACCTTAAAGCTCCAGGTTCTTGTAGTAATCCCTAACTAGTTTATTTAAGCAGTCAGCACCATCCTAAACACACTAAGTAAGAAACCGATGCAAATAAGTGTATGATCTCTAGTGTAAAATGAGAAATTAAGAAAGAAAAAAAATTATGAAGAAAAATACATGTTCCTTCTAAGTTAGGTGCTCCTCACCCGAGCACTTAGCCTAACGGTACAAACTCTTTAAGTTCAATTGATGCTTAAGCATATTTGCAGAGAAAAAATGAAATAGCATCGAGATCATAGTCACTAACAGGTTTACTTGCCATGAATGTGTATGGATAACGGGCTTAATGTGATTGCACTATAATGAAATGGGGTGAAAGAGAGCATGAGATATAGGTTGAGTTATAATGGCATGATTCCGATTGGTTTGCATAAGTAGGGAGTTTTTGAAATTGTGTCATTACGGTATCCTTGGTATTGATATTTAGTACCTATCGATCTAACATTAGCCTAGCAGCCACGTATGATTAGAGTCTCATCATGTTTTTGTTTCGAACTATGCTTATTTCTTTTTACCGTGTTGGTTGGTTGCTTGAGGACAAGCAATGGTTTAAGTGTGGGGGTGTTTGATAACGCGAAATCATATCGTTTATTTGGCTTGATTTACATGCATTTATTTGTGAATATTATTAATTTATCTTGATTTATGTTCTATTATATGATTAATTTACTTCGTTTTGCAGATTGGGGAGAATTTGGATTAAAGAAAGAAAAGAAGAAGAAATGGAAGGAAAAGAGAGAAGAAAAACAGAAAAAATGGATTTTGCTGATATGATGGTCGTCACAGGTCCATTACGACCGTCATGCGTATGACGACCGTCACGTTCCATTACGAGCGTCACGCAGACGAAATATCATTTAACGTTCAAATTAGTTTTTTTTGCCACAATCACTCTCTCTAAGATTTCTTCCTACACTTTCTCCACTCACTGCCCACTACTGGAAGTTACTCCCATTCCCTCCATAACTCACCCATGATCTCTGGAAGTTGAAGAAAGAATTATCTCCTATAAATAGGCCTTAGATTCACAGTTTAGGGGGAGGCTTCGAGGTATCGAAGTGCTGCCAAGATTTCTACTAAAGCTATTTCTCCCAGTTTTATTGTTTTCTTTTATTTCATTTCCATTTTCCTTTAGTTCAGAACATTGTATTTTCTTCCTGTACCTTTTAATTCTCGCCAAAGTAGAATCCTGCCGATATTGTGGAGGACTACTCAAGGATTCGAGATCAGTACGATTTACAGGTTCTTATTAATTGAATTATTACTTTATTTTCTGTCATAATGTATGTTTTATTATTTTGCTATTTATATTTATTCCCGTTTGCATCAATTATCATGTCTAGCTAAATTAGTTTTATCGGTATGTAACCGAATTAGTAGGACAGAATTCGATAGTAACCGGCACCTTCCCTTTTTACAAACAACCTTTCTGGCCGTAGTTTTTAATCTTAATTTCTAAATAAACCTTCGTCGCGACAGTGAGAAATTATTTACAGTAGTTTCGCCACGACAGTGGGAAATTCATTAAGGCACGAATCGGCACGCGAAAGCTGGGATTCAAACCAGATAGTAAAAACTAGGCATTGATTTTAAACACAGCGAAAGCGCTTTAAAAGAAATCAGAATCTATTTGTTTTCAAAAAGTAGTTTTAACCCCGAATGGGACTGCGAGAGCGTAAATTCCGCCTTAGAATTATGACCCGAGTCAACAACCATCGTGAGGCAGAGGTCTTTAAACGAGTATTTTCTCCTGAAAAGTGTTTGCAAAGAGTAAAAAGCACTGGCGACCTGTCGAATCTCCGATAACTAATTCCTTGCATACCGATATCCCTTTACCTCTTTTTCTTTAAACCAATTATCTTTATTTCCTTTGCATTTAATTTCATTCGCATTCAGCTTTCCTAATTCCATTAGCCTTAGCTTTACGCCGTAATAATAGATAACGGTAGATTGACATTGGTCTCTGTGGGTTCGACAATCTTTTATATTACTTCGATATTTCCGTGCACTTGCGGACGCATCATCTTTTTCTGCCCAAACGCGACTAAACTCATTTTTAAAATTAAAATCAACCAACAAACAAAGTTCTTTCTACAAAGAACTGCGTAGCCTTGAGTTCCCCATCGCATATGGGGATACGTAGGACCATGATTTTGAAATCTTGTTAGACACATTAATAAAAAATCTAAAGTTTTTTTCCTTTCTTTCTTTCATAAACTTGCAATAAGTAAAAGAAAATATTAACATAAGCTAACATTCAATCGCAAATCTAACTAAAAGGTTCTTTTTTAGTATAACGGGCGTGAGAGGTACTAGTATCTTTTCCTTGCGTAATCGACTACCGAACCCGAATAAGGTTGCGACGACTAGGCATGACAACAAGGCGGGTCGTGGACATTTTTGACCTCCCCAAACCCAAATCCATCAGAGATTGAGAATTAAATTCCAAACCTATCCCAAACGGGTTCGGGTAACTCCGCCCCGCCACTATCTATTTAATGAAATCATTTTTTAAAATAAAAATATTTATTTTTCCAAAATAAAATTACATTACAAATAATAAAATAAAAATATCTCATAAAATTTCATGCATACATTTCAAATAATAAATATAAATCAAAATATCAAAACATTAACCACATATTTAATATCTAAATTATCAAAACTAAAATAATAAAGCACATGATAAAATAAACAAGGCGGGTTTGGGGTGGGTACTAGTGTCCCCATTATCCGATCCGTCCCGATATTTTATAATCGAGAAAATCTAAACCTGAACCCATACCTAGTCAAAGCAAATTTTCTCCATCAAATTTGAGATGGATTCGGGTGGATATCTGCAAGTATGAGATATGTTGTCATGCATACTGACAACCATTTTTTTTTAAGGTGTTATTGATATTATTTTTTTTTTAAAAAAATAAATTTCGATGACAATTATATTCATTCATTTTATGCGAACGCGCAAATGTTTCACAAAAAATTGTATTTTCTAAAATACGACACATGTCATCCATGTGATGCGGTGTAATCAGTCAAAGAAATCTTTCTCCTCAACCAGCGAGAATGAAATGAGTTTCTTTGGGAACATGAACTCCAAAACTTCATTTAATATTTGCATTGTACTATTCTGGCAATAAGTACAAAATGTGCTGTCATGTCGCTATTTTACAATACTTTTTTTTCTTACACATCACGAGGACAATTATAATAAATTTTGGCCTTAACATTACTAAATTAATTGGATCTATCATATCTACCTTATAAAAATTCATACCAAAGTGCATTCTCACTATTTTCACCTAATTATATTCATTTACTTATATTATATTATTTGAGTAAAATCAATATACTATATTATATTATATTAATGAACATCCTTAAACAAAGGAACAAACAAATCAGCAAAAGTGGTTTCTCATAATATTTACAAATTCAATGAAATCAATTCTTCCATCTTGATTCTCATCAAATCTCTTGATCATCTTTTCACAGTTCTCAAACTCTGATCCTTGTTTCAATCCCAAAATAACAAGAACTCTTTGCAACTCCATTGCATCAATAAAACCATCTTTATTCTCATCAAAAACATCAAAAGCTTGCTTCACTTCCACCAAGCTTGGCTCATTCTCCTCAAACACTTCACATAGCTCCTTGGAACCATACTTTTCATCAAGCTCCTCACTTTCTGAGCTGCAAAAAAATCCCATTCTTTCCATCACCATTTTCACTTCATCTCTTTCTATAATCATCTCGCCACTTTCTCTTCCAGCATTTGGCTCATTAGATTCTGAAACCTTCTTCTCCAGTCTCACCTCTGAAGAGCTACCGTAATGAAGTTGACAGAAAAGGTAAAACCATAAACTCGAGAAAAACTTGTGGATTTTGTTGAAAAATGTTAAACCTAGGAAAAGGTCTATGAAACCAAACAAGGGAGAAGTTGATGTCTCATCTGCAAAAAAATAGTCAATTTGAGAAAGAACCATGGTTAGAGATTAAGAGTTAAGATTATAAAGATGAGAAAAGTTGTAATGGTTTAAGAGGGTGGAAGAAGGGTTGGTTATATAAGTGGGAAGATGGAGCTTGGAAGAATGGAGAAGCTAAGTTTGTCATCATGGAAAGAGGGAGGAAGGTGCATGGACATGAGACGTGGGGGAAAGAATATGCTATGACAATATTATAAAACTATGGTTATTTCATTGACAACATCATAGGAAGTTTCCTGTTTCTAAATTGAAACAAACATAGAATTTCACTTTGGCTTATGGTCATTGTCATCAATATTGTTTTCTTATGGTCAATGGGAAATGGAAGAGACAAAATGTTGAGTACTTTCCTAGAAGTGACTCAGCACTGAGATTTGGCCTGCCCAACAATTTACTTGTCCATGTTTAAATATAGTCTTGACTTTCAACTTAATAATATGGAATTGAATTTTGATAGAATTTTTCCCTAATTAAAAAATAAATTGTATTTGGTAAAATATAGTGTACAAATACCAAAAATCACTTTTGATATTATTTATAAATCATTTAATTAGATTATGATTTATAACCAAAATCAATTTTCACTAAAATCTAAACTTAAATCTAGATGAAAATTTATTTATGGTCGTATAATTGATCATTTTTAATATATTTAATTTTAATTGTTTATTCATCAAATTCAATTTAAAATTAATTGTTTCTCAAATCTCTTTTTAAAATTGAGTTTTTTTTCATAATAGGCCAAGCCTATTGAACTGAAACAAAACTACTGGACCTTAGGCCCGTTTACACTAAGATCCATATTATGTTCAGTGAAACTGAGCATCTCCAATGGTGCAACCCATTTTTAGGTTCTTTGTGGGACCCACTCTTTTAAAGCAACTCATTCAATTTTCACTCAAATGGTGCAACTCTAAATAATCCATATTGGGTCCGACCACTTTACTTAAAAAATATTATTTATATTAAATTTATTTTATTTAAAATTATAATTTAAATATTTAAATTTTAATTAAAATGATAATTAAAATAATAAATAAAATTTTATATCAAATTATAATTTTTATATTATAAAATTAATATTTTAATATAAGAACCATTGAAGAACCGTTGCATATTTAAGAACCTTTCCATCTTGAAAACAACAAATATGAGTGCCATGTTGACAAACCCACTCTAAGAACTCCCATTGGAATTGGTCTTAGATCTTATAATCCTAGCCATCCTGTGTGCCTCTTCATTTTTCCCTCTTTTGATATGAATAAACATAATATTTTCAAACAAACATTTCATCTTCCACATTCCTCTACAGTGTGTGCTCATTGCGTTTTGAGAAATAGAAATCTCGCTATCATTCATGATGTCTATCATAATCTTGTTGTCTAATTGGAACACCACATTTTCTCTCTCCTCTATCGGAGCTCTCTCCATGGCTTCAACAACTATTGTGTTAATAATTAGCAACTGCATTTTAGCATTTAATTAGTTACAATTAGCAGTTGTATTTTAGCATTAATTAGGTAGTTCCTAGAATATCTCTTGTATTTTAATAACATATATCATATATAATTTGATCATCAATATTCCCTAATCTTTAGGCATGTAGTTCGGAAAATTTGTTGTATACCTTTTGTATAAAATCCTTTGTCAATGAATGAGAAAAACAGAATTGCCTCACATTATCTCTTTATGAACAAATTTAAATTGATACTTTGATTTTTTTTTCTTCTCCTTCTTTAGTTTTCGTCCGGTCTCAACAAAAATACCATGGCTGAAAACAATTTTGATGGAGAAAGTACACAGAAGCATACGAGTAACGACGATAAAAGGAAGAATCAAATTCTTCTCAATACGACATCACCGTATTAATTGTATCCTTTTGATCATCCTGACATGAATATTTTTCTGGTGTCTTTGAAGGGTGACAATTACCAAGAATGGGAAATCAATATGCGTAATGCATTTCGTGAAAAACGCAAACTCGGTTTCTTGAACGGGACAATGACAGAACCAACTGCTGATGTAAGCGAGATCGAGGATTGGTGGATTGTCAATTCCATGCTTGTAGCTTGGATTATTCAATCCATCGACTCATTTATTTGTTCTACATTACCTATTATGATACATTAAATGAGTTGTGGGACGATCTACATTAGCAGTTCTCCATCGGCAACGAACCGTGTATTCTGCAGCTGCGATATGAACTGGCACGTTTAAATCAAAATGGTCAGAGTGTTGCTGCTTACTACGGGAATCTGAAGAGAATTTGGGATGAGTTTTCCATATATCTCACGAAGAGAGCTTGTACATGTGGAAAATGTGTTTGCAAATGCTTAGAAAATTTGAGCAAGGAACGTGAGGATGAGCGAGTTCACCAATTTTTGATGGGCTTGGATGATGATCTGTATGGAACACTTTGTTCTAACATTATCGCTCAAGATCCACTTCCTTCCTTAAACCGAGTGTATTCTCTGGTGGTACTAGAAGAGCGCCACAAAACCATGACGAAGGGGCGTGAGGCACAAAATGAGGTTGTCGCCTTTGCTGTCCGTGGTGGTTCTTTCAATCATGGTGGCTCTAAAGGAAGTTTTAAGAAGACTATCTTCCCCCATTGTGGAAGGTCAGGCCATGAAGTGACTTCTTGCTTCAAAGTTATTAGCTATCCGGAATGGTGGAATAATGAACGTGGAAATGGAAAGAACAAAGAAAAAGCCCAAGGCGCTGTTGGTGCAGGAAAAGGTATTGTTGGTGTTGCTAATGCTGCTTAATTTGCAACACCATCTTCTTCTGCCTCACCTGTTTTGACTACCCAAGACAGAAATGATGTTGGTCATGCTTTAACAAATGATAAATGGAACACCATCTTGAATATGTTCAAATTTTTAAATAATAAACCTTCTTCCAATGAAAAATTGACAGGTAAGTCTTTTTCTCCTTGGATATTAGATACAGGGGCATCATATCATATGACTAGAGATAAACGCTTACTTATGGATCTCTCCGATATTTTTCCTTCTCCTCTTATAATGCCGATGGGCCACAAACTAATGCTGTCCAAGAAGGGACAACAATTCTTGGTGAAAATTGGACTATTCAACATGTTCTATATGTTCCTAGACTAACCTGCAATTTGATCTCTTTCTCCTAATCAATCAAAGATTTAAATTATGTAGTCACATTAACCGACAAGATATGTGTGATACAAGACCGCACTTCGAGGATGGTGATTGGAGCAGGTGAAGAGAGGAATGAGGTCTATTGGCTTCGCTCGATGGCACTAACAACTCGATTATGTCATGCAATGGATGCAGATTCTTATCAAATGTGGCATCAGTGCCTTGGACACCCGTCTTCACAAATAGTCGGCCTTCTTCCTGGTGTTAGTGATAATGATTTTCGTAAAAATAAAGATGAACCATGTGATTTATGTTTTAAAGAAAAATAAACTCGTACGTCGTTTCCTATTAGTTCTAATTTGTTTGAATTGGTTCATTGTGATGTATGGGGTCCATATAGTGTTCTCTTTTTATGTGGTGCCTCTTATTTCTTAACAATTGTTGATGATCATTCAAGAGGGGTTTGGATATACTTAATGGCTAATAAGATAGAGGTTGCAAACCTTATTAAGAACTTTTGTGTAATGACTCAAACTCAATTCAATAAGACTGTGAAACGTATTCGAAGTGATAATGGGTCTGAACTTACATCCTTGGGAAGTTATTTTGCCGCACAAGGTATTTTATTTGAAACATCATGTGTTGGTACCCCCTAACAAAATGGGCGAGCAGTACGAAAGGATCGTCATATTCTTAATGTGGCTCGTGCACTTCGGTTTCAAGCTAATTTACCTATTGAGTTTTGGGGTGAATGTATCCTTACGGCTGACTATCTTATCAACCGTACTCATACATCTGCCCTACAAGGAAAAACCCCATATCATATCATTTTTGGCCACAAACCTATTTATAATCACATTAATACCTTTGGATGTCTTTGTTTTGCCTCAAAAGTTCCTCGTGACCGAAATAAATTTGCTCTACGCAGTAGGAAATGAGTATTTATTGGCTATCCTCATGGAAAGAAAGGGTGAAGACTACTTGATATTGATACTAAGAATTACTTTAATTCTCGGGATGTTGTGTTTTATGAGAATCATTTTCCTTACAAACATTCTCATACCTCTTCTGCCACTGCTACTAATAGTGTTCATCCTGCAATTTATGACATGACACCTATAGTTCATACAACATCACAAGATAACACACTTCCCTCACCTATATCAAAACAAGATTTTACTTTAGCTGAACCTGTTGAAACTGTGCCCTCTACGACTTCCTCAAGAACGATACTAATTTGTTAGAAGTAAGGGGGATCGATCATGTTGCGTTAGAAAAACCTGCAAAATTTTCTCTTGATGAGATGACAGACGCTCCCCCCATTTCAAATAATACTGATGTCCGACGCAACTCACGAGATCTCCATCCATCAGTTCGACTGCGGGATTTTGTTTGTCATACAACATACCGTTTAGACCTATTCTCTATGCCACCTTTGCAATCTCCACCTTCAGGTAGTATGCCTTATCCCATAACTAATTATGTGACTTGCAATAATTTTTCTGCCTCTCATGTTCATTTCTTGACAACAGTAACCGCAATATTTGAGCCAACACGTTTCTCTGAAGTTGTTCGTTATTCTTCTTGGCGTGAAGCCATGCGCAAGGAAATTAATGCTCTTGATAATAATGGTACATGGACTATTGAAGATCTTCCATCGGGAAATAAAACTATTGGGTGCAAATGGGTGTAAAAAATTAAGTACAACTCTAATGGTACTATTGAACGACACAAAACGCATCTTGTTATTCTCAGAACAATCAAGTTGTTGGTATTGATTTTAATGAGACCTTTGCTCTAGTTGCAAAGATGGTATCCGTGCGTGTTTTTCTTGCGGTGGCTATTATTCGTGGTTGGGAACTCCATTAAATAGATGTTCACAAT